GGTCAGTTGCGGGTTTCACGTTCTTATTCTATCATGGATTTTGCGACTTTTTTATCACTTGAAATTCGACAAAATCTTATATTCATCGTAATTTATTAAGCAGTAATACAGACTATGTCGTTAAGCAGTATCCACGAGATTTGTTTGCTGAAAAACATTCAGTTTTTGCTCTGCGGTAAACTTCCGAGCAAAAGCGCAAGCTTCCAAAATAATTTGTCCTCGTCGTCAAATCATGCGAATTATTCGCAGATTTAAATTTTTACGACTGTAGCGACAAAACTGCTCCAAATTCGTCGATCAATAACATCAGCGCCGAGGGGAGCGTCGATACATAGCTCGAAGTTTGTACTGTTTAGAAGTAAAACTGGCAGGCTGCGTTAGAAGGCAGCGTGGAAAAATTATTTCGGAAATGCAACATCGACAATGGCATCGAGAATATGCTGCATCAAGATAACACCGCAAATAAGTTCAGTGAGATAATACCGAGAGCGGGCAACTTCGGGATGGCGTCAAAAATATGCTGCGACGAGATTGCGCTGAGTGTAGAAATCCGCCGGAAAATGCAGCGTCGTCGATGGACGCGTGCCGAAAAAATGCATCGAGAAGTTGCCACCCAGATTCTCGCCCCAAAACAAAAATCTTTAAGTCATTCCCGTGACGCCGTCGTTCAAAATTTCGCCAAAACCGAAAAAGCATCGTTCTCCCGCAACGGAGCTCGCATCATTTGCCGCCGCTAATCACAAAATGATGTTACAGCTCTTCATTATTCAACGTTGCCAAGTCAAACCCCGTTCGCAACGTTGTTAGAAAAAGCGTAGCAGAGAGGAAAGACGAAAACATAATGTTTGGCTGGACAATATGTTTACTGCAAGCGCAAATTTGGCAAATGTTCAAAATCGTTTAAAGTTTGCTTCCGGACCGTTGAATCTTGCTAGTGATATGCAAAATCTGTAGTCCGTTGTTCATTCTTAAACCAGTAGTTATCATTTACCACTGATTTTGCGTTCAATTAAAAAAGTTTTTTTTAGATTTGCCCATCTCTCGCTGTTTCAGGACGGAAAGATTTATGTGAATGGAGTATTAAAAGGCGAGGCTACCAAGGAAAACTTGGAGGAAATTAAGGTCTACAATGAGAAAATGCGTGAATGGACAAAAGCCTTGCACAGCAACATGTTTGAGGTAAGCTATGGGAGTATTCCAAGTATTTACGGTTGCAGTGACGCAGTTAGGAGAAGCAGCATTTTTTAAGAATAGCTTGAAATTGAAGTTTAAGCGATTTCATAGAAAGATTCCTGATAGTTCTTGTTGTTGCTGTAACGCATTAAAAAAAAATATAACTGATAAAGACGCATTAAAAAAATATAACTTCGATAAAGACGCATCAAAAAAATATAACTTCTATATAACTGAAATTCAGCAAATACCTATAAATCCAGAAATTCCTCGACGGCCTTTGCAGACATCCTAAAAACCCTGTTCATGCTTCTAGTGTTTGGACGCGGGTACGCTAAAGCCGATGATCCTGAGCTGTGTGTCTTCATTTCGAAATTTAGTGAATATTTCTTAAAAGTAAAAACGCTGACGGCTACTGCTTATGAACAGCTAAAACCAAAAATATGGACGGCTATAAGCAATGTTGAGCATGAAATTTTACAGCCTGCCATCGGCTTATCTTCAGCTGGTCAACTCATGCCAAGGATAGTAAGATGGTCCGGCTACCAGTGTGGGTATCCCATGTTAGTGATGTATTAGAACGCTCCGATACGTCGGCTAAGGGCATAAATTGAGGCGGTAGTGAGATGGGGAAAGGATCTGCTTGGATTAGAAACAACTTTTACTTGTGTTTTTCTCATTTTCTTAAATGTTAATTTATGGAAGTAATTGCAAGCTTTTTTTTAATTAGAAAACAAATTTAGCCGGAATCGCGCCATACTTCTCAGTTATGTTAAAGTTTTTAATCAGTAGGCACAAAATTTTCATGGCACTTTTCCCTTTTCTTCCCATTCTCTCTCCGCCCTTCACCCCGCAAGCGAAACCCAAATAACCAGGTCGGTCTAAATGTAAATCGATTCCAGGAAAAAACAGTGTTTTTTTCAGACCATGAAAAGAATCATTGACGATATGTTTGGTGACCACGGTTCATTCTGGCAAAATCTTTCTGGGCCATTCTGGAAAACAGTAAAAGCATACGGACCGGACAGTGAACCGACGAAGCCAGCAACATCCCCGAAAGAGCCAGAGAAACCGGAAAAACCGGAAAAACCTCTGCCAAAACTTCCGGAAACGATGCCTTTGCCTGAACCACCGTCTTTCTGTAAACCGTGATACTATTGAGTGGATATAAAGTTTTTTAAAACTCATACTGTTTTTTATTTTGTCCTTTAATACGTATAGTCCTGATTAGCCGGAATTTGGACTATTTTTCATGCACAAGGCATAAGATTTCTTTTCAGCGCTTACCCTAACTGATTATGGCAGCTTAAGGGCAATCAAAGGAGCTAAAATATTTACTAAATGCTTTGCAAGCATGAAACATAAAATTTCAAATTTTTGGGGATCATTTAGTGACATTGAAATGCTTCAAATGCTTATTTTTACAAGCGATATCATAAAGAGTCTAAAAGGCCAGCCACCCTCTGGATTAGGATTACGTTATAGGAAAGACTGAACTCCTGGATAGACTAAACTCCTGAACTGGGAAAGACTGAACTCTTATTGCTCTA